ATATATATATGTGTGTGTGCGCGCGCGCACACACACACACATATATATAGGATGTTCCATTTAAATAATGCATTAAGATTTCTCGAAAACTACGATAAATAGGGAAAAATATTTTTAATAAAAATTGTATAATTCGGAGGGAGAAATAAGAAGGTATCATTCATTTTACCTTGGGTGACGTCACCAAGATTAGGTCAAGGTTATATCGATTTTTTTTAATGGAACATCCTATTTTTGATGGCTGAATCTAATAGCTGGTGTTAAGACCAATAAGTCAAATCGTAAGACTAATAAGTCAAATAGTACCTTCTTACTGTCTCCCTCCGAACTATACAACTTTTATTTAAAACATTTTTCCGTATTTATCATAGTTTTCGAAAAATCTTAATGCATTATTTAAAATGGGACACCTTGTATATACATACATATATATACACACGCGCGCGCACACACACACACACAAAACATACACAACACATATATGCAAGTATTGATAATTAATCTAATTGTAGATATTTTTTGTATATTTGTACATATTTTCTTGAAGCATATATAAGATAATAAAATCTAATCTATAAAACAATAAAAATAATAAATAGAAGTAGTTGCGCCTTATTAATAATTCTATAACAATTTTAATATTTTTTAATTGACAAAGCTATTTACCGAAATTGAAATTAATTTTTTATAATTAATCTGCAATTTCGGTAAAAATTCAACATTCTTTTATTTATAATAAAATTCATATTCATTTGTTGCATGCAACAGAGTTGACCTGGCAGCAACGTAAACAGGATCCAGCAAGATTGTTACATCCAGCTTTCAGGATGTTCCTCAGGACATCTTCCTTGTCACGCAAATACAAAAAGTTTGCTGTTAAAATTGTCATTGAAAAATTATGATATGATATTTAGGAAAGAATGAAGATTGTGTTGGCTGTGTTAGTCAAATTAGTATTTATTAGTTTATTAGTTAATAACAAATATAATTTATAAATTATATGAAACAATTACCTATTCATAACAATCTGTTATAAATAATACAAGATTCAAAATTATATTTAAGAGGATTTTATTAATCTTTTATATTAAACATTAAAAATAATCTTCTTTTACAAATTTTTTTATAAATATATAATA